CCCCCCCCCCCCCCCCCATCACAAGGCTGAAGCACTGAGCTGTAAGTACAAGGCAGCAGACATCTTGCACTGGGGATCCCCAGAGTCAGGCTCCAGTTTCTTATCTCCAGCACCAAGGAAGCAGCATTATGTTTCCCTTTTATTTTACATCTGCTCAGGAGACAAGGAACTAATGCAGTTCACTTGGCTCTATAAAAACTCCATTCTGGAATATATGATTCAGGCCAAGCAATTTGATTCCTAGCGAGGAAAACCTCCTGACCAGACTAAACCAGACTGAAGTCTGCTGACTCAAGAACTTGCCCATTTCTCTGCTTTCAGGGCTGGCTGAAAGGTAAGATGAGGCGTAAGGTAAATATTCTACCTTAGAATGCCATTTGCTGCTAAAACCTATTCTTCCTAGATAGCCCTTTTCTGTTACTACTAGTGCTGTAGCAAAAATCTGGAACGCAATTTCTCAGTTTTCTCCTATGAAAGACACTTGATTTTTCTGTCTTATTCTCAGTGTGCTTAAGAACCTCTGTACAATTTGTTTGGGTGATGTTTTTGAGCTTTATCTTAGCAGATGGTAGAAGATGCTACTGCTGTGATGTTTTCTGATATACAGTTCTGTAGGCTTTCTGGCTACCTACACTTTCCATCTGAAGAAGGCCATGGGAAGGACTCCCTCATGATATCTCCCACTGAGATTTACATTAGTTACAGTGATTAAAGGTGATAAAACTGCTTTTATCTCATGATAAAATGTTTGGAGGAGGCAAGATAAAAGAAAATCACTTTTTTGCATCTGCCCAGATCGTCGTCCACCACACGCCTTCTCAAGCTGTGAGGGTCAACATGACAAATTATTGTCAGAACCAGTTGTTTGCTAATTTAGGTAACACCCCTGAACTCATAAGACTGCATTTAAAAAACTGGAATGTTTCCAGTGTAGTAAGCATAAGCATGACTGTGCGCACAGAGAGAGAGAGAGAGAGACACTGTTGGCCTTTTGGAAGCTCTTAAAACCCTCCGGCTTTGGGGCCAAGGTGTTAATGGAGCCCAATTTGGGTGTTTTGCTCTGTACTGGTTGAGAGCATGATTATTTGTACCTAGTACCTTTTATTGTTCTGTTTATTATGTTCATATGTATGTTTTGGTTTTATCACATGTTAGCCACCCACAATTATTCGATTAAGGTGGGCAGCCATATACATTTGCTAATTCTAACATACTGCTCTGTTTTCTCATTTTGTCTAACAAACTGTACATTAAATATATGTGGAAACTATAGTAAACTTCAAACTATAGTCCCCAGTTTAAGAACGAGTTCCGTTCTTAAGATCTGTCCTAAGTCGAATTTGTATGTAAGCCAGAACAGTATTATTGTATAATACTGTGTAAGCAGTATTGTGTAGTTAGCTCAAACCATTGTGTATTTAACTTGAATATTGCTACAATAGGTTCCGTTCTTAACCATGGGTTGTCTGTAAACCAGGCGTTCTTAACCCAGGGACTACCTGTAGAATTCAGTGCACTGAAATATAATTTCTTAGGCATACATATTGACCACTACAATGTTACAAACAGAGATATTACTATATCTATCTTTTATTCACAGAAATCTTTACACAGACATAAATACAAATATCTAAGAAAATGTTTTAAAATCTATATCTGGGATCTAAACATATAAACTATGAGAGGTTTAAAAGAATATTTTTTATTCTCATCTGTTCTCTGAATGTATATTTATCTTTTCACAACAGAAAACCAGGAACTGTTTTTACTCTAAAATTACAGTGTGACTTTACAGTAGTACATACCCACCCACTTATGTCTCAATTTGGTCTGGAATATTCTTTTATCTAACCAGCATGCACTGAGCCACAGCAATTTTAAGAAATTCCATGTCTGCCTTACCATTGATTACTGGAGTATAAACAACAATCCCAACCAAATTAGGATCAGATACAGTTGTATCCAGAATAAGGCCACCAATACTGAAAAAGAATTTGAAATTTCAGACAGGGCTAGTCAGACTGCAAAAGCTATTTAAATGCTACAAACAATATTGTTGCTTCATAAACAAAACAGAAGTAATTTGGAAGCTATATATGTATGCTACAGATTTTGCTATATGATTTCTAAGACTGAATCTAACACAACCAGGAAATATTCTTAACATATCTATAAAATCTTGAACTATGCTAGTAAGTATGTTCAAACTGAACATACATATTTACATAGCTTTTATTTTAAAATCTATTCTGCCAACAGATTCTAAAATCCAGCAAATGCAATCTAGTAGTTAATTTCACATTTCAGATCAGTATTTAACAACAAATAAAATATTCAATAATTTTAAAAATTAACCCCATTTAAGACTATAGAATCTAAATGGATAAAATGTAAGTTTGTTCTTAATTTTCCTGCAGAAGTCCATTCAAGGTCATATTTACTTTTAAAGCCTTATACATCTTAGACCCAAATAGAAGTATTTCTTTTCACTTCAGCCTAGCTGCACCTTAAAATCTTTCAGGGTGCCTTCCTTTTAGAAAGCTTGTTGTTTATTATAGATGCGTAAATCATTTTGTGGTTGAAACATTCTGATACTGACCAGAATGTATTCTGAACCAGATGTGTTCTAAACGGACCATTCCAGCTGCAAAACAGAGGTTGGAATGATTTTAAGGTAAGGTTGGAACAACCCATTCTGAGATCAAAATAGGTCATTTTGAAGTTAGAACATTTCAATCTCAGTGCTTTTGGAATGCCTCTACAACATATGGTGACACCAAAGCGTCGGAGCTCCCTCCCAAAACCATACATCTGATGCTGACATTACAATTGGTTCAATTTGAGATAAAGAACTCTTTATTGCCTACTGGATTTTATACATCAATGTTGTGGCTTTGGTTTTGTGGTTTTCACAGTTTGTGTACTTCTTGTTCATTCTCTCACTAGTATTGAATAGGATTCTATTTAGAGTGGCATAATTACTTTTCCTCATGATTTTATATACTGCCCTGAAACTTTCTAGATAAAAAACAAATTTACAATATCTTAATTCAATAAATATCATAGGTTAACATTTGGGGGAGCTGAGGACTGATTCTGTTTTTCAAGAGGCAGGCTAGGAATTGCACTCAAAGACATAATTGGGTACAAAACAAAGACATAGTGGAGACAGGACAAAGGTAACGTTGGTTTAACTTACATTTAATTAATATTATTGTTCCTGTAATTAATAATTCTTGTTCTATTGTATTAGAAATTGCAATTTCATGGCAACTTTTGTAGGGCCTTCAGGGCTGCACTGAACACATTTAGATAAACAAATTTATTTGCTGTTGGAGATGTGCCTTCTATACTGAAAAAAATAAGTTTGTGTAATTGTGTATCCTTGTCCAGAATCTTACATTATTTGTCAAGTGCATCATTGATTTACAACACAGCTACAGCTGGATTGGATCCCTTTTAAACATTTTTCAAATGACATTAAGCTACTTACCTGCTAATGATCATTGCAGTGATAACGGGTTCCCACCCAGAATGAAGGACTGTTCTTGTAGCTGGATGCTTAGCAGCAATTATAATCCACATGGGAGTCAGAGCCAAGAAAAAGGCACCAACTAAAGGAGATATATAATAATATTTCTCTAGAATTAAAAGAAAATGTTAGGATTTCTCATAATATTCTGAGGAAATTAGTTACTACAGGTAGTCCTTGACTTACGACCACAATTGGGACCAGAACTTCCATTACTAAGCAATGTGGTTGTTAAGTGAATCATGCCCAATTTTACGAATTTTTTTGCTGCAGTCGTTAAGCCAATCACAGTCATTAAGCAAATCATACGATTAAGTGAATCCAGTTTCCCCCATTGACTTTGCTTTTCAGAAACCCCTTGGGAAGGTTACAAATGGCAATCATGTGATGCTGGGATGCTGCCACAATCATAAATACATGCTGGTTGCCAAGCGCCTGAATTTTGATCATGTGATCACGGGATGTTGCAATGGTCATATGTGCGAGGACTAGTCATAAGTCACTTTCTTCAGTGCCATTGTAATTTTGAATGGTCATTAAACAAATGGTTGTAAGTCGAGGACTACCGGTAGTTTTTAAGAATTAATATCCCTTATTTGTCAGATAGACACTTTTCTTGAATTGCTTCCCTTTTCTAAACAAAATTATTAATTATAATGTATTTGTTATTAATTCAGCTTCATTGCTGACATATATCTCATGATCAGAAATATTATTTTATGCTTGAATAACTATAGACACCATTTGAGACATCTACAACAAACCATTCTTATTTTTTTCCTAATCCTTTTTTTTAACCTTCTCTGACACATAAAGTTAATGCTGCATTGATATTTTAAAACTTTTACGGCTACTTTTACTCTGTGTTATTGTGTACTTTATGGCTTATTTATATTGTATGTTTTCATACTGTTTAAAGTATCCTGTTATCATTTGGATTAACCTACTGTTCTAAGAGTTTGAATTTTAGCATAAACCATGTCAAGATCCTTGAACAGGAAGCAGTATGAAAATCTTTTAAATAATTAAGAATTATCATTATAGAGCTTCTATTCTTTCATCTAGGAATTCAGATCAGTGTTTGTGACTCTCCCCCAAAAACCTGTTTTGTCTTTAGAACTCCCTTGTAGAATTTTTTAAAAACATACAAGCATGATATTCATATGAAATATACTTGGTACAATGCTTTCTGCTGTATCATTTAGCAATGCTAAAATATAATTTGTTCTGGCAATTTCTATTCTTTCATCTAGGAATTCAGATCAGTGTTTGTGACTCTCCCCCAAAAACCTGTTTTGTCTTTAGAACTCCCTTGTAGAATTTTTTAAAAACATACAAGCATGATATTCATATGAAATATACTTGGTACAATGCTTTCTGCTGTATCATTTAGCAATGCTAAAATATAATTTGTTCTGGCAATATATGGCACAGCATAAAGAAAGACAAAGTATTCATTTATGGATTCTCAGTTGACTTTCTCCTTCCATCTCTTCACTGCAAAATCTAAATAAATTGCTTCAATAAGAAAGAAATATTGCAGAATAATTTTTGTATTTTAACCAAACTGAAAAGCAAGATGTGCTATGCTCTTTACATAACCTTTGGATCTTCTGCCTATACTTTGAATATCCAAGATGGAAGCCCAAAACTACAAGGAGTCTGTTTCAACTCCTTTCTGATTTTGGGCCCCCATAGACTAATGCAGCTGTCCTCCTACAATATCCAAGATGGAGCGGGCACACATCACAGATGCCCTTTGTATTCCTAGTCCAGAGCATGCTATCTTTCAAATACAATCAAGCCCATTTCTGTAACTGTTTTTTCTAGTATAACAACACAGATGGTGAATTATTTTCTTTTGTTGGTAGGTTCAAGATTTAGTAAGATTCCCCTGCGGAAAGAAACTAAGATAAAAACCAGGAATAACCAGCAGACTACAGCATAGGGCTCTGAATCCAGGTACTGATAGTAGAATTTGCATAATTCCTAGTCTCCTAAAAGGAATACAGGATAGCCCAGGCACTGGAATAAAGATCAAAGTAACTGTGGGGAAAAAAGAGAAGCGCTACAGGAAAAAAAAGAAAGAAAGAAAGAAAGAAAAGATTGTTGAGCAAACAAGTTTACTACATGATCTTACTACCAACTTTCTAAAGTTAATTCTTATTGAAGATTCACAATGCTTATTGATTCTAGAGTTCCTTTGCTATCAACATTAGTTACTATTTCTGTAGTGCATCATAGGATTATCTTAGCAGGTTATAGTATCCAGCCAATTTTATTTAGAGCTGAAAGGGTTGGGCCTAATTAGTACCTAATTAGTATGGAATACTATTAGGGCTGTAATCTAAACTGCAAAGTAGAAAACTTAGGAAAGGTCACACCAAAAGTTTATATCACTGGTTATAACTGACAGTGATAATTGTTTAATTAATTAATTTATTTTTAAAGACATATGTAGCTGGCCATATTGTAACCACCCTGGGTGGTGCACAAAACAGTAAAAACAACATAAATTCCCAAAGTATCAGAATAAAACTCAATAAAAACACAACAGTGCAAAGGAATGCATGATAATTGATATTTAGAGCACTTTTTTCAGGAAATACTGCTTATGCTAAAACAATTAAAAATAAAAATATTAAGTGCATCCTATGGTTATATTTATAGGCTTATATTTCAATCTTAGATGCATTTAATATGATAGTTACTGTCACTGATTTCAATATTAAAACCTCTACAAAAGCTTTCCCAAGATATCCAAACTCCAACCCAACAGTGCCCTCTAGTGTTTCAAAAGGATATTAAAAGAGAAATAGTATAAAAGCAAATAGTAGCTTGCCCTGCCAATATGGTTTTCTCCTTGATAGTTCACTTGGTAGTAACTACCAATGAGGAAACTACACCCTCACCAACTCTGGCAGGGCAAGCTATTGTACAAAAACAGGGAGCAAACCCCACACTCACTAGCGCTGATGATGTTACCTAGTCGGGTAATGGAACGTCTGCAAGCAAACGACCAAGCTCAGAGAGCACCAAGGACTCCACAGATACTTTGAATTGGCAAATTAGTTCTTCTTACAAGAAACTGGAAAGAAAGAGTACTTACCAAGGCAATCATATAAACCCTGACTTATCCAGGCCAAAATGGCAAGCGTGATTAGGTCTCCAAAGCTGGCTGCAATAGGTGTTGCAACATTGTCAGGATTTATGCCAGTCTTCTTAGAGCCAACAATAACACCAACCATTATTATTCCTAGAACCATTTTAAATAGAAAGTGGGTCAATCTTACTTTGTAACTCTATATAAGAAAACTTCAGAAGAGTTCAGAGAAAATGTCCTTTATTTCTAAATTCAGTGATGGGCTATTTTATTACCAACTTTATTATTACTGTGTTTAAAACAATTACACATTATTATGAAAAACTGCTTTATACTAAGTGCTTTAATAATCATTTTAGAGGCAGTGTAGCTGAAACCAAAATTGTTAAAGTTGTTAAACAATGATTCCAGTAACACCATCTGTTACCATCAGTAACAGTAAATCCATCTGCTTTGGATGTATTTGCATAGATGAACTAAATTTAATGCATTGTACATTTAACTGTCAAGGTATTATGTCTCCAATTAACAACCCAAAAATTTATAGTGATACTTGTCAATCAAAGTAACATATAATGTTAACAATGCCATTAAAAAAATGTTGTCTATAGCAAAACCATTACAAAAGAAAATTTAGATTCGTTATAAAGGTACCTCAGAAGAGAACGATTAAGACCACTACATTTACTAGTAACGTACAGAAACACTATTAAATCTGTTATTTTACTCTAATAAGTTCTAAATTTCCGTAACAGAAATAAATTCACATTTTTCCCCAGATATTCTGTTCTTCATTTTTCTTTTTGCTGATATTACGTTGAATTTTAGATTGTACATTCACTCAAGTAGGGACCTGCCATCCATGTGAAAATGATACCCATTATTAGTATTAATTTATTATTGGTGTCCACTCATCAGTGGACTTTGATGATGATACAACAACATTAAAAATAATCAGTCTACTAGCCAAAGAGGAAAATACTTTGGAAGTGCTGGGAGGTTCAGATTAAATTCAGATGTTTCTGTTAATAAAAGTAGAGTTATCTTTGGTAGTTGGGAAGGATTATGGTACATAGCTTCAATGAAAAGGTGGTCAAATAAAAACCAGTGACTATGAATGATTGTAATAAATAAATAAATATAAATTCAAAGTACAATTGAAATTTTTTAATATGTACTTATGGATAGAGCATCAGTCAAGTGAAATTGACCTTGCTATTTCTTTATATTGATGTTAAAATTAATGATGTTTACATTTAAAATATTACAATTTTGTTTTACCCTGTAAAAGTGATGCTATGAAGGCTGTTGCTACACTGCTAGAACACAAGAGAACTGAGTGATCAAGATGATATTTCCCTTCAGGAATCCAGCCCAATATAACTGCTGCCACAGCTGCCAAAAAACCAACTACTGTTGCTTGTACCTACAAAATAACAATAAATATTTAACATGAGAAAAGTATGCTTCTCTATAACACAATAGAGTTTATACACATTTCTGTATAAAATTGATGCTAGTACTCAGGAAATCAAGCAATTATCAATACAGTGAACCCTTGGTTTACTGGATGGAGATTTAATGGACTTCAGATACAATGGACAAGTTGGCAGCATGTGCATTTAACGGACCCATTCCATTGTATCCGGAATAGTCAGGATTATTTTACTATTTCAGTCAATTTCTGTCATTTGGGTTATCACATTTTGATGCAAATGATAAAATGTATGTTGTGATGTAATTGTTGAAAATGATATATTCTCAGTTTTAACAGACATTCAGGAGTAATGGGCTCCACCTTTCCCCTGGATAGTTGGTTTTAAACATAGCATTTATTGTATTGTGGTCAAATATCAGCATTCCTTACATCATCATCATCAAAACTTTATTACGGCCTTTAGGCCAGAGAGCACAATACAATACATCAACCTGTAATTATTATTAATAAAACTTTTTTAAAAAGAATAAAATTACATAAAATACATTATTATAGTAACTGCAATACAGATAGTAGGGGGAATCATGAAAATTTGTGCTAAACTTCAACCATAGGTAGGATGCACACAACAAATCATAGCACAAAATCGGGCAGCCTGGAAAGATATGTCAGGGTCCTGGTCAGATAGAAGCAATGACAGATAGACATTGTGCTCTCTACCAGGGTAGTTCTTTAAAATAGGATAAATATATATCTTCCAAGATTCCCTAAAGAGAGAGAGAAACAAAGGAGCATATGGCTTAGGAATTCCACAGAGCCTTCTCTACATGGGCATAAGCACTGCTGAAAAGGAATGTTTTTATACCGCCCCTACAGAACTGCAGAGGGGAGTGCATCCAACCTGGCCAAGGTGAAAGCCCAACAAAATTTCAGAATTACAATTGAAAAGAGATAAGATGGCACATGGCCACTTGAGAAGAACACATACACTGTAGAGTTGGATACTAGGCTTAAACTGGTATGAAAATCAATATAAAATCCCAGATATGTTGTTTAAAATGACTCCTGGCATTTTCAAAGCCCAATGGACAGAAGCTTTCCAAAGAGAGTCCTCAGGACTGGAGTTTGCTACTAGCTTTTGTTAACCAGGTTGATTTAAAACAATCTCTGAGAACCCATGGAGCCAGACCCACAGGAGAAGAAAATCAATTCCAACCTGAAATTAAGGGGATAGAACCAGGCTCTGACACCCACAGAAACCATACCTGTCTCCAACCATAAAACAACATTCTTGATGCATCTTGGAACTGTAAGAATTGATTTTATAAGTTTAGACTGGACAGCTTCCAAGTTATTAAACTTTGTAAAAATGCAAATTGTAATACCATAAAGAAACTGAGACATGACCTTAGCAGAAAAACCTTGCAAGCTGCAGGAATAAAACGTGTCCCCTTTGAACAGAAGAATCTTAAGGCAGCTGTGGAGCTACATTGGGCCACACCTGCCCAGTAAGAGAAATGTCTGCTCCAAGATAAGGAAGGCTGGAAGTGCACCCCAAGATATGTATAAGTAGGTACCTGCTCTATTAGGGTCCCATTAATTTGCCATTTATGTAATATACTGTTGTGTCGTGCAAACGATAGCACTTTAATTTTTTGATAATTTACTACAAGTTGTTCTTTTAGGTGAAAGGAAGCCGGTATCCTAAATACCCTTCTCATTGCCACCTGGTTTTGATGGAAGCAGCACCATCTGACTCTCAGTGAGGTGTTAGAGTCTAGATAAGAATGTACAATGACATCCTTAGCCTCAGCTATAGATACAGGAGGCCATTCGGGAGAAGTCACAGCTGGGTGGGGGACCACCACTGGATTAATTAATAGAGAGAGATTTTCTGATACTACTACTCCTTGCTTCCAAAATGAAGAGGAACAGCGTTGCAATGACTTCTTTTAATGCCCTTACCTGTTTTAAAGCCAGATTACCAATTATTAGATTCCACTTCTCAATTGGTGAATCCATTTTCCCGACATTTACCTATAAAAGGCAATAAAGTACTTTAGCAACTGAAAAATCTTAATGTATTTCCTTATCATTACTTAAAAGAATTGAACACTCAATTTTAGTAATAGGCCCTTCCACTAAGGTCATCAAGTATTTCTCAGCAAGGTGCTAGCTGAATGCTTCTGCGCATGGCAAAGATGGCAACACCTGTCGGTGTGAAAATGTTGGCTGGATGTTTGTGTGCATGGAAGTGCCCTAAGACTAACTGAAGGCAATGAGGATGCATATTTCCTGAGGGATGCGCAAATAAACAGTGTCAGCAAATGTATAGTGGTACACGATGAGTGACTGATCAAAATGAGACCTTGGGGTGGTCCTGGATACCCCAGTACAAATGTCAGCTCAGAATGTGGATGCATGAAAAAAGGCAAAACATCATAATGAGAATCATTAGGAAAAGCACAGACAACAACATTGTAACGTTATCATATATACATCCATGGTGCAAAAAATCAGCTTATTAGTGCAGTTCTGCTTATTGCATTTTAGAAAGTACATTATAGATTTGGATAAGGTAGAGAGATGATAAATTGTGGAGTTCTTGGTGCTCTCTGAGCTGGGCTGTTTGCTTGCAGGCATTTCATTACCTAACTAGGTAACATCATCAGCGCAAGGGAGAGTGGGATTTGCAGCCTGTTCATATATCGTAGCTTGCCCTGCCAGTTTTGGTGGGGGTGTGATTTCCTCCTTGATGGTACCTTGATTAGATGATAAATCACCAAAACAATAAAGAGGCTGGAGCAATATCCTCTAGTAAGGAGAGAAACATTTAGCTTAGTACATACATTGTTTTGTGGAGAAAGACCAGAAGCTGGTGAAACTAAATGCTGGGAAATATAAAATAAAAGGAACCACTTCTTCATCCAACTCGTAATAAACTGGGGAAAGGGCTACAGATATACGGATAGTCACCAACTTAGTTGCCTTTAGAGGTGACTGAGCAATTTCATGAATGGATGATGGATATATATTACATCCCTCAATGGAGCTGGTAAGCCTCTCAATTTTTAGTTATTGGAAAATGGGAACAGGAAGATGCTATTCCCTTTACATTCCTATGACCTTCTGACAGATCACTTGGGCACAGATTGCTGTAGTGGAAAGGCTGATCCAACAAGTTCATTCTTATGTTTTTATATGTGGGATATATATTATCCAAGCTAACCTGTAAAAACTGTTAAAATAGGTATTTTTAAAACTGGTGAAGAACTTTTTTAAACTACAGAAGTATTTAATTGCTTAGTTGTTCACAAAATAATTATGGCTGCTTCTCAACTTCTCAACCTTATGGCAGGCAGATAAGTTAACACAAACTAAAATAGAATCTTAACCATTAATATACAGTACATTTTAGAATACAAACTTAATGAAACAGTCAAACCTATACAGGTAATCCTCGACTTACGACCAGAATTAGGACCAGAACTTCCATCACTAAGCGATGCAGTCGTTAAGTGAGTTGCGTCCAATTTTATGACTTTTTGCCATAGTTGTTAAGTGAATCACATGGGCATTAAGTGAATCTGGTTTGACTTTGCTTGCTGGAAGCCCCCAGGAAGGTTGCAAATGACAATCATGCGACCCTGGATGCTGCAACCATCATAAATACATGCCAGTTGCCAAGCACCCAAAATTTGATCATGTGACTGTGGGGATGCTGCAATGGTCGTAAGCACAAGGACCAGTCTCAAGTCACTTTTTTCAGCTCCATCGTAATAGAATGGTCATTAAATGAATGGTCGTAAGTTGAGGACTACCTGTATATCCACTTTGAAAGAATTCCTTCTGAGAATTTACCCATAGTCCATGCTCGGGGATGGTACAGTTCAGCAATATCTGAATGATACAACATTACCTGCCATTATATTTTACTATTTACTAAAGAGATCTACTACAGGAGGTAGATGTCAGAAGGTTAGACTTCTACAAATATGGCTAGTCTTATGAAACAAGAAATAGTTAATATCAACCCCAAAATATTACCCAAACTTACTGCTGTTGATAGTCGAGATGCCAAAGTCATTTCCAGATTACCCTTCAAACCAAGTAACGCGGGAACCAAGATGAAAACTTCAGTAATGTTTCGGAACACCTCCCAATGCTATTTAACAATAATAAATATTGTTATTTTTTGTTATTTTTGGGACCTACATTGCCCAAGCTAAGCTGTAATGCTGTTAGACTTTTTTTTTAACAACAGAAGTATTTATTTAATGGTTTAGTTGCTCACAAAGTATTATGACTTTTTATTTCTCAAACTGTAACTGGTGGGCAGAAGTTAAAAGAAGTTAAAGTAGAATCTTATGCCACTGATATTCATTTTAGAGTACAAATATAATGAAACAACCAACCTACTGTTACTCCTGTGATGGATTTATACTAACATCATGCACTCCAAAATCACTTGGGTTTGGTAACTGGAATTTAAAGGGGAGCTGGAGCCATTTATTTATACCTTAGTTCTGGGGAGAAATATTTCCTGTTCTGCCTCATCCAGACTCTGGATGAAGGGGGGACCATCTCCCTATTCTAGAACATGTGATTGCAGTGTAACTACCTACCTAGATGGAACTCTTTCACATGGAGAAAAAGCTACATCAAGACTAGAACTGAAACTCAAGTAGAGGGGGAAGAGGAGGTGGAGATTCCAGGAAGGGATCTGGCAGGTTTTATTACAAATTTGTGACAGACACATTTGGTTAATGAGACAAGAAATAAAAGCTTTTTATTGGCAGCATCTCAAAAGACAAAAATGAAAATGAGTAGGCAGGACTCTGTAGCCATTTCCTGCGATACGTTGCATGTTTATGCTACTGCCTTAGAACAACCTGGCATAGATTTGCAATAAGTGCAAGTTTGAAGAAAGAAATTAGAAGACTGGATAATTAGAGCAACAATAGTGGACCCACTTCTGTGGCTACTCTGTTAAAAAGAAAATATGAAGATTTATCAGATCCAAACAAAAAAACAGGCAATACAACAAATACTGAAGGAGGGAGCAATTCTCCACAAGAGACAATCAAGCAAGCCCAGGGTCAAGAGTCACAGCTAGAAGTGACACAGAAAATATTATGTACTTCTGGAATTCAGAAACAGCTTCAGGCCCTTACAAAAGAAATAATTTTGAGCCTTCAGGGAAAGAAAAGGAGACACTGGTGAACAGGACACAAAACAATGATTCCCTAAAGGGCAGAAGAAATTTCTTCTTGGTCCCTGGAAGAAGACAAAGATATGAGTATTCTGGAAGTTAGTGATTCAGCATTAATGAGGAACCAAAACAAATCTGTGTTGCCAAACCTATCAGCTCAAGGAAGTATGCTGTCTACTAGGAATGTCACAGAACAGCTTCCACATTTCACAATTCTGTGATATAACATAGAATAACTATAACTGCAGCTGTTCCTGTCCAAGGAAAATCATTTGGTAATACTGTTTGGTACTTGTATTAAAATAGGTGGAGAATTAATAAAAACAATACTGATACTGTTAGTATCTACTATTGCCTGCCCAACCAAGGATAATATGTGGATGATGCTTTCTAAAAGCAAATTGAATATTTTTTTCTAACAGACATGAAATGATGATGAGGGGACTTTAACTTTGCCAAGCATGGTACCTCCAGGAAATTTCTCTTTGTCTTGCTGATAACTTTCTCCTCCAGTGGATGAAGGAAGGCACAATATCAGCTATTCTTGACTTGATATGAACCAACAGAGAAGAACTAATTACAAGTGGGAGCAAGAGGAATATTGCTGGAAAGTGATACTGTAATGCTGGAATTCTTGATTTCATGGGAACCTAAAGCTGAGTGCAGTTACATTGATATCTTGGACTTCTCAAGTTTTAATAAACTCAAAGCAATGAGAATTCTTTGGCAGGGGAAATTAATATGAAAAGAAGCTCAAGATGGGTAAGATTTTCTTTAAAAAAGGGGAGATACTAAAAGCACAGTTGCAAACAACTCCAGTGACACTAAAATATGGAGGAAAGCAGAAGAAGCCAAATATGGCTACACAAAGAGCTTAGTATAGCCATACTAAATTCTGAAAATAAATGAAAGAGAGACAGTTCACCAAAAAAGAGTACAAATAGCCCAGAAGTGTAGTAATGGTGACAGGAAAGCTGAAATTCAGAATTAACCAAGATTGGTGAAGGATGTTAAGAAGAACAGCAAATACTTGTTTGGATATGTGCAGAATTAAAGAGAAAAAAAATCAGTAAATCATCTGCCCAGTGAAGATGGCAAAAGTCAAAGAAAAGGCAGCTCCTTAGACCAAGTGTCTCTAACAAGAGTGTGCTCTACTAAGCAATTGTGCAGAGCAGAATAAATTGCATTCTGGAATACTAAAATAACTTGCTAGTGGCCTGACTGAACTGTTATATATTATCTTTGAGAAAATCTAGTGACAGGTGAAGTGCCAGATGCCTAGAAAAAAGTAAATGTCCCTATTTTAAAAAAGGAGAAAAGGTAACTACAGACCAGCCAGTCCGATATCACTATTTAGGAAAATTGTAGAGCCAACTGGATGATATTGAACTTTATATACCACACTTTAAAATAATTCAGATAAACTGAACAGACTGTTAGACTGCTCGTCAAATCTGAAACAAACTAGGTTTGGAGAAGGACAACAAAGATGATTAAGGAATTAGGAACTAACCCCCATGAAGGCAAACAGCAAATAGGGAATGCTCAGCTTTGCAAAGAAAAGACTGAGGGAAGTTATGATAGCAACTTCAACACCTAACAGGATATCACACATAAGAAGACCCATTCTGCACTGTTATAGATTAAGAGACATGAAATAATGGATTTAAGTTATTGGAAAGCACTTCTGAATATTAGGGAAATATCTAGTAATAAAAACATTTTTACTGTGAAATTATTTATCAAGAAAGGAGATGACTCCTCTTCACAGGGTGGGTTCAAGCAGAGGATAGACAGCCATCTGTCTGGGATGTTTTAGCTTAAATATCTGTACTGAACAAGGATTGGACACAGCAGCCAAAACAGACCCTCCCAATGCTATATTTCTATGAATCTCCCACCCACCCTCTGTACACAATTCTGGATAAGGACACACACAAGTGTAAAATGCCCAGAATCTACCCAAAACATGGAGAGATTCAAAAATCTATACTGCTACTGAAACTGGGGATGTGTGAAAGTAGAAGAGTAGATGGCAGACAAAAACAGATGTGGCCACACTTAAAAAAAAAAAATCACCCCATCCTAGAGATAATTATATAATCATAAATAAATAAAGCACTCCTCATCCTTTGTATTTTAAAAAAAATGCCAACTGTCACAATTAAATCCATCAAGAAGTATCTTTGAGTTTTCCTGAATGGACAGCTCTTAGTTCTACCAGTTGAACTGGGTGGATCCTTAAATCACAGTAATAAACTTGTGAGAAGACAGGTCTTTTCCTACCATCACCCTATGTGCCCTTAAACTCCAGAGATTTTGAATGCAGTGTCAATTGCTTAACCAAAAAAAATGGAAAATGGGATTCTGCCCAGTGTACTGCTATTCCATAGATTTCTTTTTCTTCTGGAGAGAAAAAAGCAGAAATTGTAGGGAACCATGGAAAAGTTAGAAACACAATATCTAAAAGCCTAGTCTGGAAGCATCCCTCATGTTTACCGTACTATATTATAAGCAAATACCCACCTGAACAACATCTAGAACCATCCCAGCAGACACTGTTCCAAATCCTGCTAGCAAGAATGGTACAAGTATCTGTAATGCCATAATGCTACTAGATTCCTTGGGCTGTTTTCTATTTCCTTCCACAATGGGAGTGACTTCATCACTGTCGCTAGATAAATTGTTGTCCTGCAGCATAGCATCCATTTCTGATGTGTCAGTTCCATCTGAATAATTGTAACTTGCAAAGTTGTCATACTTTGGGCTACAGCTTGACGAATTATGTCCATTACTCCCATGATAAGCTGATTCTGAAAAGTGATGATAATCCATGGGTTGATCAGTCCTAACACTGAAACTATGTCCTGATGGCTGCAATCCATCTTGCCAGAGACCATTTATTTTCTTATGTCTCTCTTCTTGGGTTTTGTGATAAACAATTGGAACCATACTCAACAGCAAGTTCAAGAATTTGTCAGACTGAATTTTATTCAGATTTATAGTCCAATTTACAAACCCTTCCCCATGACAGGCTTTACCATTTCTTTTCTTGCTGACAGATCTTCCTTTACAATTAGTCATACTGTTTTGGAAATATTGTTTTGATAATCACTTCAGCTCTCAATAAATTTTAGAGTTATACAAGAAATTTGATCTGGTATTTAGTGGACTGCTTTTTTAATCTATTATTTGGAAAGTTTTCTTTTCACCACTTTTTGGTCTTGAGCAATTCCATAACCCAACTTGGATCTGAAAAACAACATAGTAAAAAAAAATTAATTTTTCTACTTCCCAAACTTGATAGTTTCTTTTGAGTGGTTTATAATATTCTTTGCATTCTAACAATGCAATTGCATCCTTGAGTTATATCACTGCTAAACCCCCTACACTACATAATGGTATAATTTCAGAGAATATATGTCACTCAGGGTTGAACTGTAGAGTCCTTGGTGCTCTCTGAGCTTGGTTGTTTGCTTGCAGACATTTTATTACCCAACTAGGTAATATCATCAGTGCTAGTGAGTTTTCTCCCTGTTTATATACAGTAGTTTGCTCTGTCAGTGTTAGTGGGGGGTATGGTTTTCTCCTTGGTAGTTCCTTTATTAGGACATTGCTTTCTACTTGATTGCTTGTCTGGTGTTAATACCTGCTTATCTGAGTGTTGGCTGCTGGAGAGAATGTGTTCTCTTCTTTTTGTTTCCTTCTTAGTTTTTTTATTGTCTCTTTTGAATGGTGTAAATGTGGTTTATCTCTATGTGTCTATTGATGGCTTATTTCTCTGAATGCCAAGCTTCCAAGAATTCCCTAGCATTTTTGGATTTAGCTTGATCTAAGATGCTCACAATTTCCTAGTTGAAACTATGGTTGAGTTTGTCCATGTGTTGTGAGATTAAGGAGTTTTCATCGTGTCTTCTCACTGCCAGCTGGTGTTCATGGTGGCATGTGACTTTTAATTTTATTACTGATTGTGATTAAAGAAGTCAATAGATAAGAAAAATAACCAAGGAGGGACCAAATATTTCTTTTGTTTTCTTTGAAGGCTTTCCAACTTCACTTTAGCAATTTAAATGGTAATACCTTTTTCACAGCATTCTTTGCATTGTTAATGAAAAACTAAAAGTTATTGGCTGAAGAACTTTTGTTAATGCTTAATACATTTTATAAACTGAATTATGCAGTCGGAACTAAGCAATGTTTAATTAATCGGAGATCAGGCAACCATATATAGGATATAATTACTCCTCATAAACTTAATTGTGTTACCTTATAAATGTTTTTTTAACGCCTATTTTTAAGATATGAACAGAAAAAGGTGGCATAATTATGATGCCATGGTAGGGTGTTATTATGTTAAATTCCAGTATTTGAAATTGATTGCTATGCAAGTCAAAACATTATTACTAAAATACACAAATGAAAGAAGCAGTTAAAAGTCTTTTTATACATCTACGGATTTATTTGAGAAACAAAGAACACAATACCATCTTCAATATGCTTGCTACATATAATGAGGAAGATAATCCTTTTGCATCATTCATAGTTTTGGAGTAAAATTGTTTTCTTGGAGCCAAACAGCTTGTATTGTAATTAAAAAATAATTCTGTATTTGCAGAAATTGTCTTTAATTATATACAAACTTACATAATGTTAGAGATGTGTCCTATAATATCGCACTGATTTACTAATGCTGACTTCTAAACAAATTTCCTAAGAACTTCTATAAAATAAACTATGACTAATAACAGAAGAATGTAAATTTGCAGAAATATTTTAAAAACTATATCAACTGGGCAAAAAGAGTATACAAACATTTAAGTTCCTTGGGACTCATAATCAGCCCAGGCAGTTAAAAAAAAAAAAAAAAGAATGGGGGAAGAAGCAATAAAAGAACAAATATTAGGCAACATTTGTGGCCATGAGATTTGTAGTTTAGACTTGCCCTCCCAGGGTTTAGGGGCTTTTGACACATCCAATGTTTTTTATCATTTCTGAGTGCACTATATTTCACCTTACTTAATTCCTGCCAGGTCTTTATGATTAGTAATCTTGTTAATTCTTCACTCTTCCTGCCAAATTGGATTACTGATAATTACATTGTCTGCATTAAGTATGCCTCATGGCTCAGACCTTAAACTATTTTGATAAATCAGATTAACAGTCTGTTCATGCAGTTACTAGATTAGCAAATAAGTACATCCTATGAGCATAATGGTGTCTAGTTTTGTCTAGTGTTTTATAGAAAATTCATAATGTCAGGCTTTTCAGCAAAACTACTTGCTAAAATATTCAGGAATGGACAGACCTATCTGTAAAGGAAATAATCTTGCTTTGATTTACTAAATTACTTCTTGTTCTTTACAGTACATTTTATTTTACAGTAGTAGCTTTTCATTATTTGATGATAAAGTTAATTACACAGCAAATTAAATCATGGAGGAATGGGTGGGCAGAATAAAACTGAGTCTGCACGTTGATCTAAAGAACTGCACCATTTTATGAACAGAGATACTGACCATGTGATTTCCACCTAGCAAGTTTATATTACCAATATGTAAGTTGAATATATCTGCTTAATAGCTCTACATATTAAACATAATCCTCCTTTCTTTCCAGATGTTCATGAACTTCAGCTCCTTGCTCATGTTGGCCAATGTGGAATGCTAGAATTTAGACAGCAATATTTGAAGGGCCTCTGCTCTAAAAAGATCAATTCAAATGTCAGATCAAACCATAGTTCTGAATCCAATCCATTGCTGACATTTTAAACTGCACAAATAAATCGTGGGATGGAATGAATAGTCCACTTATACTTCCCATCTACTGAACAAATCATGCTGACTATTATAGGTTTCCAGTGTATTCACTATGTAAATTTTGATGCAGCAGCAGCCCTGGGGAGGAACAAAAACAGTATCTATGGCTTGTAAAATCAGCTATTTTCGCACTAAACACAGTTAAGGTTGCTTTAAACATGGCTTCTTATTCTAGTTTACCAGACAACAGGAAACTACAGTTTGTCAAGACACTATACCAAAACACAGTTATGTATCAGCAGGTTTGGGGAAGCTCCAACATCTGCAGAACAGCATATTCAGTACAAAATCCTAAAGTGGAATTCCCTGAACCATGCACACGGTACTAAGCATTTCAGCTTACAGGGGAAATAGAAACTAAGATAAGGGATGAAACACAATATTCTGTTAAGAGAGCAAGAACCCTGAACAAAAGCACTGGTAAAAACCAAAAGTGTTCAACCCACACCTGACAATAACCAATACCCAAAACTTTATCCAGGTTTTGTTTTCTTTAATGTTCTGACAGCTCATGGCAAATAAGCTGTCTGAGGTATTTGCCTCAAGCAGAAGTTGTTTTCACAGGTCTTCACAAGCATTTTAAATGCAGGTTGGGCATGGTAAACATTTTGGCAGAGGCAAATAAAAAAAATACCACAACTAAGGCCACTTATGCCCATTATTTCAGCTTATTGTTTAAAGCAGGTTTGGAAGCCATCTTTCATCAATGGAAGTTTGCTCCTTAGAGAAAGTATCTTGGGATCTGCATACTAGTCATAACCAGGACCACAGCCTCCAATACTCATCCTTTTTCTCTTTTTAGATCTAGGTCTTCTTTCCAAACCTTCCTTCCCCCAACCCTACCCTCCCCTTCAAATTAGGCAGTAATAATAGAAGCTTCCTAAATAGGAACTGTAATGGGCTCATAGGCATGGAGGCATCCTTGAAATGATCAAATTTAGGTAAGAGAGGCAGAGTTGCTAGGATAATGCTGTGGGTTTCTTGAGGCCCACGGTATACAGATTCCTGATTTTTGGACCAAAGACTTTAAACTTGATAATCTTGATGTAGACAGTTTTATTTTACAGCAAAGATGGCCAAATCTATTAGTATAGGATAAGCTGCTAACTCCCTAGAAAAATTAGATTTTTTTTCCTAATATCCAGGAGATATTAAAATATTTAAATATTAGTACTCGTCATAACCAAAAGCAGCAACAGGATTTCCTTAACTTTTCAATTGTTTTCAAGATGGCTGAAGAATCTTTTCTTAGGAAAGGCCGTAAAAGTCTGCCGGGGGTAGGACTGCAGCTAAAGTGCATAACATCAGATACAATGGTAAACAGAACTAGAGCCAAAAGTAGTTGCAGCTGACAGTTTTGATAGATTACACCTATCCTTTGTGCCATTCTATTCTCTCTCTCCCACAACAGCAAACTGCAACCACAAACTGCAGATTCCCATGCCAATTCCATATTATTAAAGGCAATTATTATTTTAAAAACCCTGTGCTAAATGATAGTGCCAAAGATCAGATCCCTACAGAACTGAAAACCAATGAAATTAAGCGTCATTATGTTTTCATAATTTTGAAGGCTTCTCTCCACCAAATAAACTATACAACTAACGTGTTTCATAAGCCTTCTTAATGCTAAGGAAGCACTGAAATATTCACAGCTGCGCAAAATGTAAAACAGAGATTTATTAGAAATCCAAAATATTCAAGAGCCTTTTGTACAATATTATCCACTGATGCAATCAGTACACATTTTAATCAAGTCCTGATTACCTGTCTCTGTTTAGATTACATTCCCAAAATATTATGGTCTCATTCATTGCCTCATTTCTAATTCATTCTAATCCTCTTCCCTGCAGTTTTGTGTGAGGCTACCAACCTAGCAGCATATTCCCACATGGACTTGTTCAAATAACATTGCCGGAAAGCTCATGACCACAGTGCATCTTGTTAGGGCTGTGCTCACATGACCCGCTAAACTTCTGTAGAAGGCTAACTGGAACACTCACACTTACACCTATTATACATGGGCCTTCAACTAAATTTGGAAGCTTCTATGTGTTGTGAAAAGACAGAATGGCTGTTCTTGTTGCAAGCACTGGATCTGCATGACAGAAGAAATTCTGGCGTGCCTTTATACCTTGCTTAAAGGGCCATGCAAAATGGCAATAAGATGGCAGTATACTTAGCTCCAAAAACTAATTATAGTGTCTTAGAGCAGTGTTTCCCAACCTCAGCAACTTTAAGATGTGCGGACTTCTGGCTGGGGGTTTCTGGGAATTGAAGTTCATACACTTAAAGTTGCTGAAGTTGAGAAGCACTGCTTTATTTTATTTGTCACATTTATATAGCCGCCCATCTCACACAAAGCGACTCTGGGCAGCGTACAACAATTAAATCAAACAGCAAATAGATAAAATAAAAACCTTATCAAAAATTTTAAAATATACCAACCCCACAGAGAGAGCAGAATATCAATCACAATGGCGCCTTCTAACAATGTCTCCAGTTCCCAAAGGCTGCCCAGGGTTATATAACCAGGTCTTGAGGGACTTCCAAAACAATAGCGGGGAAGGAGCAAGCCTAACTTCAGGAGGGAGAATGTTCCTCGAGGAGGGAGCCACGGGAGAGAAGGCCCGCCTCCTGGGATCCACCAAATGCAAGTCCCTGGTCGATGGAACCCGTAGCACACCTTCCCTGCCAGATCTAATGGATGGGCTGATATAACAGGGGAAAGGCAGTCCCCAGATAACACAGTCCCATGCCATGAAGGGCTTTAAAGGTCAAAACCAGCACCTTGAATAGGACCCAGAAGCAAACTGATAGCCGCTGCAACTCGCAAAGCAGAGGTGTAATATGCAATCTTCTGGGACACACATAATTGCTTGTGCTGCTGCATTCTGCACCAGTTGAAGATTCCAGATGCACTTCAAGGGCAGCCCCATGGAGAACACATTACAGTAGTCCAATCTGGAGATGACTAGGGCATGAGTGACTGTGAGCAGAGCCTCCTGATCCAGGAAGGAGTCCTACTGGCGCCAATACGAAGCCGTGCAAAGGCCCTCCTAGCCACGACTGCCACCTGCTCTTTAAGCAGGAATCACAAGTCTAGGAGAACCCCCAGATTGCACACCGGGTCTGTCTGGAGCCGTGCCACCCCATCCAGCACCAAAGATGATATAGTCCCAGAACCAGCAGGACCCCAAACCCAAAGCCACTCAGTCTTGCCAGGGTTCAATTGAAGCTTGTTGTTCCCCAGCCACCCTCACAGCCTCCAGGCACTGGGATAAGATGTTCATAGCATCACTTAATTTGCCAGGGGCAGAGATGTATAGTTGGGTATCATTAGCGTATTGATGATACCCCATCCCGTGGCGATGGATGAGCTCAGCCAACGGCCTCATGTAGATATTAAATAGGAGAGGAAAGAGCACCAAACCCTGCGGCACCCCACATATAGGGGTTGAGGGCAGGACCTCTCCTCCCCAATTATCACTGAGTGGAATTGACCCCAGAGAAAGGAGTCTTAGCAGAAGGAATCTACAGTGATGGTATCAAAAGCCACCAAGAAGTCAGGTAGGGTAAGGATGGATGCACAACCTCCATCCCACCCACACCAGAGATCATCCAAAAGTGCAACCAATGCTGTTTCTGTTTCATACCCAGGTCTGAATCCTGACTGAAAAGGATCCAGATAATCCGCTTCATCCAAGGCTCTCTGAAGCTGTTGTGCAACCACCTCCTCAATCATCTTTCCCAAAAAAGGGAGGTTAGAAACTAGATGAAATGTGGTGGGATCCAGCAATGGCTTCTTGAGGAGAGGACGAACCAAGGCCTCTTTAAGAGGTAAAGGAACAACCCCCTCCCTCAAAGAAGAATTAACCACGAGAGCCCACTCACATGACACCCCATGGGCTGCTTTAACAAGCCAGGAGGCGCATGGATCTAGAGAGCAGGTGGCTGAGCTCATAGTCCTAAGGACCCTGTCCACTTCCTCAAGTCCAACAGGTTCAAACCATTCCCAGATAATTGGGCAAGACTCCTCCCCAAGCATCTCCTCTGGACCTGCAAGAGGACCGGTGTCCAACTGCGAACAAATCTGAGCAATATTTTCTGATAGATGCTGAGCAAATTTCTCCACACACTCTTGCAAAAGGTTCTCCAGGGCCCCCTTACCCAAGAGGGCTCATGTCACCTAAAACAGGGCTGCAGGGTGGCAATCTGAGGACACAATAAGGGTAGAGAAGTACTGTCATTTTGCCGCCCTTACCACCACAAGATAGGCCTTAATTGCCCTAACATGTGCTCAGTCAAGTTCGTCCTTTGTTGAACCCCAGCAACGCTCTAGACATCTCCCATTTCTTCTCGCTCAGCTCCTCCATAAACTACAGGGAGTGATGGGATCCACAGGAGGGGAGAGGTTGCATGGGTGCAATCCAATCTAACACTTCAGCCACCCCCTTATTCCAAATGGCAACCAAGGTTTCAGATGGACTTTGCAGCAGACCAACAGGAACAACCCTCCAGCTCCCTCTGAAACCCACCTGGGTCCATCAGTTGCCAGGGGTGGCCCAATCTAATGGGCCTCCCTGCAGTGGATAGTAGACCTAGAGAATCCCATGGAAATCAGGGCATGATCTGACCACGACAAGAGAAACACCAGAAGCTCTCCCAATTTCAGGTCACATAGCCACTGTCCCATGTTGGGCTCTGGATGACCTGGGATAGCCACCTCAGACCCCACTCCCAGAGAAGGCAGACTGAAGTCCCCCAGAATTATAAGTCTGGGGAATTCCACCACCAGCCCCAAGATGGAGTCAATTGCTCAGACAGGAAGGTTGCTATGCAGCAGGGAGCTGGTACAACAGCAACAATCCCAACTGATCCTAGAGCCCAACTTAATGAACAGAGTCTCATATCTAGGGACCTGTGGGGCAGCGCTCTTAAAAGCCGTAAGGGATTCCCAGATGACAATCGCCACACCCCTACCCCTGCCCCAGAGTCTCAGCTGATTCCACACCCAAAACCCCACTGGGCGTATCTCAGAAAGGGCTACCCCCGCTTCCAGGCCCAGCTAGGTCTCAGTAATACACACCAGTTTGGCCCTCTCACCAATGATTAAAACATGAAGGATGGAAGCCTTATTGCAGACTGACCTGACATTCAGCAGCAGCAGCCGGAGGCCAGGGCCGCTGAAGTTCTGTTGACCAGGCACTGGGGCTGAGATCAAGGAGCTGGAACATGAAACTGGTACGAGACATTGGTCCTGTGTTCCTCTGGAATGGCCTGCTCCCTATCTCCCATGATATCTCCCCATGCCCATCACCGCTGTTATATTATGGCTCACCTCTACTCCCCCAATGGCAGCTTCATCCCCATACCAAGCCCCCCAAGACCCAAGATCCCCAAGACCCTTCTTCCTGGAGGGGAAGCTGGGCACCCCAAGACTCTTTAGCAACACAAGCTCTCAGCACCAACTGGGTACCCAGCCACCACCTCCCTTCACTACAACACTCACACACAACAACACATTCATATACTCTAACAATCACAAGAACCCTCCCCGCTGCTCTCACTAGCCGGTAGGGGCTCTCTTTCAATCACTCCCTTCCAATTCCCCCTCTGGCTTTCACCCAGAAGGAGGAATAGCATCCAGACACAGCCAGGAGATGGAGCCGGGTCACTTTCTCCTTCTGCTTTAGAGTGTCACAAGAACACAGCCTAGTCTTCATACTGTGTTTCTGATGTTGTCATTATTCATATCTGGAACAATTTTTTAAAGAATAGTGCCTAATGAAATTTAGCATTTAATAACTTCAACCTTAAATTTTAGCTTTTATATGTTTTATCTCTCTGGCTTTAAGCTTTTAAAGCTAAATCTTTACAACCAGTTATATTGGATTTCAACCCTAATTATTTAGAAATAAACTTGGTTAAAATTTCTTCCCTTGTCTCTGATCAATGATTAACAACAGACAACATGCCAGAACTGTTGCGTGGACAATCTTGAGTTTTCAATTGCAAATGTTTGTGGTGTAGAATTGATAGTTTTGTGACAAATTCTGGTAACCAGATTAAAACCAGACAGATATAACTCCTGAGTATCTATGGAATAGGAGCCATCTGCCCTTTCACCTATTTGAGGCTGATATCTTATAGATCCATATGCCCAAATCAGTTATGAAGGGCACAGCCCCCAGACACTGTATTTAACCTTCAAATAAAAACGGAAAATGAAGTACACAGAAAATTATCACACTACTTCTTTCTGCTGTTTCTAGTATGTTCTCCATGTTCTCTGTTCTCTAGCCTGTTGCTAGTTTATTCTCCATAAAAAGTATGTTCTGCTATTTATTTATCTTTTAAACCAATTGTTTAGCACCTACTGTTTCATTCAAGCAATAACCAACTTCTTGTTTTCCTGACTTTCATATATTTTCAAATCATTAACTCTTTTATAAGCAAGAATTGCCAAACCAATGCATATTTATGCTCATAATAACAAAAAATACTAAATTTAAAAGTAGGGATTGAACTTCATCCAGTTATATGGAAAACTGCCAACAACCTTTTAAAGAGCTCTCTGCTGAACTTCCTTGAATCAGCCAAGTTCACCTCCACAAGCTTTCCCTCTCCAACTCCTAACAGCAAAAATGACAAAGGAATCACATATCCGTAGTGTAATCGCACAATAATCCACTATGACTAATGCCACTAAGACACCCAGGCTGAATTGTAGAACTTGGCCCTTCTTTGCGCCAACAAAGCCCCGAACTGGGAAGAAAGGGAAGCGGGTGGACTGGGGGGACATCCACATTCCTGCAGGGCGGAGGTGACCTACTTTTTAGGATCCTGCAGAAAGCCACTCGGAGCGTTATGCAAGAGCGGGGGGTTACCCACCCAACCCCGTGGAAGGGAGCTCGGAGTGCCTCTGCCATCCGTGGAACTGAGGAAGGAAGGGAGGCAGGACGGCTGGAAGCTGCCACCTTCTCGTGTCTCAGGTGGGCGGGGAGAGCTGGAAGAAGGGGACTTCCAAGAGGGGGGGCGAGGAAAGCCCCAGGCCCGGGTGCCGGAGGCGAGAGGCAGGTTTGCTCCCAGCAAAGAGCAACGTCACTCTTTTACTTTCCTTCGGGGGCCCCCCCCCCTCCTCCGCGGGCCAGGGAATCCCCTCCTCCGGCTCCCGCCTCCGCGCCCATCTCCAGCCGCCTCCCGCGGCCCCAGTCCTACCTGGCCAGGGGCGGCGGGGCTGGCCGCAGCCTCTCGCAGCAGCCGCCGCCGCTCGCCATCCTCCGTCGGGCGCAGCCCAGAGGCTGCCCGCTCTTCACAGGAAGAAGGAACCTGCCCGACGGCCGCTGAGGCGCTGACAGCTCCTCGGGGCCTCCGCCCCCACTGAGCAGGCGC